TTTCATAGGAAGGAATTGTCGCTGTATCACGTTGAACTAAAGTAAATTAAACTTAAGATGAAAATTTCAAACGTTTTCAAGAATAACTCCCCCTTTGAAGAGGTATTGAGAAGAACAAATATGTAAATAAATAAATTAGCTTTTATCATACTTGTGCGTCAAAATCAAAACTAGAGGAGCTACGAGGTCACAAAGTTGTACCAGTAATATCACATAAATTTGACCTTCTCCTGCTGACATATAGTTTCCAGTAAATGGAGTAAAGTTAAAGTGAGCATCTATTATAAGCGGTGTATGCCTGATTAATAGTGTGGAGGTTATCAACTTTTATTTTCTAACCTTATAATTTGTTTCTCAAAAGCAGAAATGGGCTTGAAACCACAAATGAAAATAATTAATCATCAATTATTAATAAATCGGACATGACACTCTACGAATAGCGCCTAAAGTCCCGTTCAGGATCAAACGTGTTGCAAAAAGAAAAGAAAAGAAAAGTTAAATGGAAGAAATATCGGAATTCTATCCATCTCTTCTATAACTCAATAGTAAATGGTCACAAAAGAAAATAGCTTCGACGCGACGTTAGACCAAAGTAGGGGGAAGGAAGGTATGAATTCTAGATGGTTATAAAATCTGCACGGGGGTTGGGGGAGGTGCGGATTCACCTCCCCCCCAAGGTGTGGGGGGGGGGGGGTGCAGCTATGAAATATTGACGATCTTTGCTTTTTTTGTCCTGCATTTCAGTTAACGTAGAAGCAGAGGAAGTGACTTGCGGATTTCTTGCAGCAGAGAAAAAGAACTTGATTAACGGAATGCAACACTTTATAAAATGAAAAAATGAAAAAAAGATTTAAAGAATACCGTTGTGAATCGGTCAATGGACATGCCAGTCTGTAATGGAGGAACTTACTTTAAATTTCGTCTGAAGTCTCTGTAAGAGACGGAAATAAAACGATTATCTGTTGATTACTAGAAAATTGGAAAATTAATTTAAAGGTTGAATTGAGAAGGAAGATAGATGGTTATTGGGGATGGGGGGGTTACAGTAGAGGTCAATGTCAACACAGGCCTATAGACACCATTAGTTAGTTAGATAGTTATATAGTCAGATAGATAGATATATATTTATAGATAGATAGAGAGATAGATAGATATAAAGATATATCTATATATATACTTTGCTTGGGAATCTAGTTGTTTGTTTGTCTGTTTGTATCCAATAAACGTCAAAACGGCTGAACCGATCGGGCCCGAATGTTTTGTAGTACCTCGCGTGAAGGGAATGTTTATGGATGATCGAATTTTCAAAAATTTGCATTTAACAAAATACGATTCTTGAAAATTTTGAAAATCCACGAAATTTTTTTATTAAATCCGCGAAATTTTTGTTTAACAATTTATACAAAGAGAACATGTATACAATTGAAATAGAAGATGGGCGCGAAGCACCCTACAGGCCCAGTATATGTATAAAGATAGATAGAATAAACTTCTTTAAAATTTCAAAATTTTTACAAATGATTTTCGACAATTTCTTCCTGACTTTACGGATCCTTCAACTTTTCTCGAATCTTCTTAAATTTTAAAATTTAAATAGAGTGCTAACAAAAAATTAGAAGTCCCAAAGTTTGATAGCTGATTACAAAAGCAGTAGACATCTTTTTTAAATTAATCATTTTTTTCGTTATTGGGTAGATAGATAGAAAGTTAAGAAAAAATTGACGTATAAATGTATGACATAGCATAACGACTAAGAAATTAACCCCGAAAATTTAAATACAATTTGCTGAGGAACCTGATGTTAAATAAAGTAGTTTAAATAAAAAACATAGCACACACGTATATGCCAGGGCTCGTCTTTAAAAAAATTAAATTTAAGAATTTAAAATAAACCATATAACGTATCATCTGGTTATCTTACAGGCGAGAAATTTCCAAGATGTTCTAGGCTTAGCATAAAAAGAGAAACTATTTTCTTTTCCGAAATATATTTGGTGGATATTAAAATTTAACATGATAGCTGACTTTGGTCAATCTAAAAAGTCGGGAGGCAGGGGCACAGTGGTTTCGGGGGGGGGGGGTGCATTATTTTTATTCACTGAATAATTTACGTTTGAAAAATTAATAAAGAAGAAAAACACGATAGATAGATAGTTAGATAGTTATAGATAGATAGATGGATGGGATAAATAGATAGATATATAGATATATTATAGATAGATAGGCTTTTTTTATTTTTCATATTTAATTAAAAATCAACATGTGAAAGATAAACAAGTGTTTTTACATAATTATTATAATCAACAATTAGATTAATAAAAAAGACAGGAAATCCTGTCTTTTTAAGAAAAAGTTCAATGTCCGCTTAAATGCTTTGAAAAGGGTTCTTTTAATCGAAATAGTAATAATCCATTATTATTCTTATTGTTAATTATCATAATTTCATGTAAATCACTTGTTCATCCTTAAAGGGAGTGTTCTCGAAAAATGAAAGGGGGTATAGGCTTAATGCGATAAAAAAGCGCTTTTGATCGCTACTAATCTTACTTCTATCTGTTGCGTCAATAAGGAGAAAATTGATAAAGACGTCTCATACCGAAGAGCGTAGCGCCCATACAAAATGAGGAAGTTGGAACATACGACTTAGACCGTAAAAAATCAAATTAATATCAAACAAATCATTCAGATATTACAACCTATAGTCATCGATTATCTTTCGCCACATTTGTATACATTTGATATTTCATGCTAGTTTTGATTTTGTTTTTTAAAATAATATTTAGCTTCGAACATTCCTGGAAAATATGAAAATGTCGTCTTGATTACCAAAAATCCTCGAAACAGGAATAAATGTTTTTATAAGTAACTCTCAGATCATAACAATTAAAACATATTATGAAAAATCAACTATATACAAATGTGTATGTTGCAATTTTCTCACGTTGTATGGACGCCATGTTATTCGGTATGAGACTTCTTTAACAATTTTCTCCTTATAAAAGCAACAGATAGAAGTAAGATTAGTAGCGATCAAAAGCGATTTTTTATTTTTCGCGAACACTCCCTTTAATATATATATATATATATTATATAATCAACAATAATTTATTTATTATTGAATCAAAAAAAGAAATTCACACATATATATATGAAAATTACTTGTGATATGATTATATATACATTGGTTCCTTAAGTTATAATTTTACCTAAAACAGATAAAACCTTGCTTATTGGTAAGATCGGGTAATGTTTAAATAAAAGAAATGGTTGTGGATAATATTCATGATATAGATGCTGGTGTATCGTGTAGTTAGTGTGTATCCCAGATATATATTTTTAACCCGGAGTATGGAAGAATTGAGGTTTGGTTCTGACCTAGACCTAGACCTAGACCTAGAGCTAGAGCAAAGTGAGCCCCTAAGCTCCCATATGGTTTCACATCGGACAATTGATTCATCGAGAACCAAAACTTAAACTTTGTTTTATTTCTTAAATTTATTCGTCAATGATCTGATTACTCTCCTCATACCCATTCACCCTGATGTCGAAGATATCGGGTTCCGCAGATATAGAGATTAGAAAATCAGAGTTTGTGACAAAAACTCAGATCCTTTGTGAAGAAAAAAATTGTCTTTAAAAAATGTTTGAATTGGGATTGCGCTTTACAAATTACATGTCACGAACTATAAACATGATAGATAGATAAATGGAAAGCTAGTACAATCAAAAAATATTAAATATTAAAGTTCATTAATTTTGAATAAATTCTGGATTAATTAAACTTTATTCTCAGTTCACGTTTTCATAATTTATTCAGTTTTACAGAAAAATGTTTCGAACGAAGAAGTCACTCAAATCTACACAACATGAACTGAGCTGGGAACTTTTGAATGGTGGATATCGGGATTAATGCTTGATCCACTCTTTTTCTGAATCTCCAGATTAAATAATGCTTGTTTTCCTCTCGTTATTAATCTGCAGATTAATTAACTTATCGGGATTAATGATATCCCATTCTAAAGTTTTCAGCTCTGGATCGACTTTCAAGTGTCGCAATGTTTTGGGCATTTTGGTTTACCTCACTATTCCAATAATACTTTTTTGTAGCCCTAGATATGTACGTTTCAAATTTTTTGTTTCTGGCTTCTCTTAAAAAAAGAAGTAATTGGCAAAATTGTGATTTAGCGTTCATGCTTTGTTTCACATTGTGAGGTTTCTTGCGTACCCTCGTTTTGCATCTATTGCTTAAGGCTGATAGAAACCAGGGTACCGGCGGCCGCATGTTGTAAACAGTGAGGGTGTGTGTGGATCTGTGGCGGTTTTGTATAAAATTAAGATTTTTACGATCATTTCGTCAGTTATTCGCTCACGATGAAACCTTTAGTAAGTATCTTGTACAAAGGAGCAGAGTTGGGAAAATTGGGCTCATTTGCAAGGTTTTACCCTCAAGAATGAGACTTCAGAGACGACTTAAAACTAGTTGATATTACCGATTTAAAGGTACCGAGCAAGTCGTCGCTTAAGTCTCAACCTATATCAAAAGAAGAAGATTGTTAACCTTTCAATAACTCACAAAATATTTCTAATTTACTAATCATTATATCTGTGCAACCTGGTAGACCTATGAAATGTAAAAGTTTGAAATTCAGGTTGCATAGATATAGTTTAGAACATTAGAAGTTAAGGAAAGTGTTCATTTTTTATTTAAAAGTAAAGTATATATTCCGGAAAAGCAATTGTTAAACTACCACTTCACTAAAAACTCTGATTCATTTGAAGTACCGTACTGACTTATAGGTGGAGTACCGTACTGACTTATAGGTGGAGTACCGTACTGACTTATAGGTGGAGTACCGTACTGACTTATAGGTGGAGTACCATACTGACTTATAGGTGGAGTACCGTACTGACTTATAGGTGGAGTACCGTACTGACTTATATAGGTGGTAAACGGAACGGTACACCAAATTAATCATCCCCCTCTTAGAGAGATTATAGTGATTTTTTCAAAAATGTTAATTTGTAGGTGTGTGTTGGTGTCTTGATGTTTGTCTGTGTGTATGGTTACCCTCAGGGGCCCCCACCAGGAGGAGAAGGACCCCTAGCTTTCCCTAGACCAGGGGCAAACGGAGATTATGCAGCAGGTATTCAAAATTAAGATTTTTTCCCCTATAATTTACAGATTTTTTAAAAATAATTTACTAATTTTAGTTCATAGATTTTTAAAATCCATAATAAGTTCTTAAATATATTTTAAATTTTAAAATAATTTACTGATTTTAAAAATTACTTTGATTTTTTAAAAGTTCGCAGATTTTTGAATAATTTAATGAATTTTCAATAATTTGCATATTATTTAAATGATTTACAAATCATTTTAATAGGTTTTAAGTATTTTACAGATTTTTCAAATTTTTTCTTTTATTTCAGTAAATTCTGATTTTCTTATCCATATACTTTTTGCAACCTGACGGTGTAAAGAATTAGGCAATTAGACAATTAGAACTTGTTGCGAGTGTTTAATTCAACTATTTTTTTTTTGCAGGAGATTATTTCCAGTACATCAATGTACCGGCTCACAAGGTTTTTGAGTGGGGATACAGGAGAGGAAACCCCAGTCATAACAGGGAACAATATCTTTCACAGAAGGATCACACATTCAAATCTAAGGTAAGAGAAACCTTTTTTTTAAAGGGACTAAAGTGAACCAACCTTTATAGAGGCGCATGTTCAAATCACAACGGTACATTGAAAAGCATTTGTGATCAAGAATAAATGAGCTATCAATCAATCAATCCATCAATTTTTAAATTGTCTGAAATTTTAAGCTAAAAATTACAATATCTGTCACATCATTGATCAAATAAATGTTTAAAGGGTACCATTGTGAATCTTACATGTCCCTCTTTATATGAAGATTACAACAACAGATCCTTTGACACTAAAATATTTTGAGAAATCTGTAATTTTTTTTCTTCCTTGCTAAAATATTGATTTTCTGTTTTAACAACTTTTTCCAAAAATAGATACCTTTACATTTGTTTTCTTTAATGAATATGGCGTTGCTGATGATCTAAATATGTTTAGCTAAAGTGGAGTGATGCCTACGGCGGACATGGCGAGCATTACTTTGATTACAATCACGGCGATTCCTACAAAGAGCCCGCCCCTGCATACCAACCAGCCCCCGCCTATGCCTCCGAACCTGAGCCTGTTTACGAACCAGCTCCTACACTTTATAAATCTCGCAGATAAACCAAAGAATCTCAAAATATGAAATTTCTATTTATAAAATGACAGCGGCAGTTATAGCGCCATTTTTTATTGTCAATGTTGACAATCAGTGCCATTATATTGTTGGCGGGGTATATTCATTCTAGAATAGACAAATCAAAATATGTATTTTCATGCAAATGTACTTTAGTGAAAATAAATGATTTTTGAACCATTTTTGAGAATTTATTCTTTTTTGTCCTTTTCGTCTTTTTTAATTTGAATTTAAAGTTTGACTTTAGTTTTGTAAGATAATAAAACCTAGAGTGAGTTTTGTTGGCTTAATTGGTTTTATCGTAATTTATGTTTTCAAATTGATTTGAGAAAGCATATCAAATTAACTTTGAAAAGAAGGATAGGGAGATATTGTCATTCATCTATATAAAAAAGCTCTTCCCTTATTCATATGTTCGAAAATTTTCGTTCGTATTTTGCTAAATTTTCTAGATATTTCGCATTTTTTCACGGGAAAAAAATTTGGGAACATTTTTTTGCAAAAATTTCGCATTTCGCGAAACTATTTTCGCAGAAAACCAGGGGTGTTGAAGCTGTATTTTGTCTTTTTTTAATTCCAAATTTTTTGGCGAAATTTTCGCATTTTTTTGTTAAACAAATTGAAGCGAAATTTCGCGAAAAATGCGAAATTTTTCCTTTTTGCTGCAAAGCCAAGGTTGTACCAAATTGGCTGACATTTTTTAGGGAACCCATGGGTATTGGGTATACCCCGGGGTGAATTCTACTTGCAACGCCGGCACTTCAGCTTAAATCATAATTTAAGATCAAGCGTGCAGGCAAACGGCGGGAGTAACTATGAGTAATCTGGGCAACGCCGGGAAATTCAGCTAAATTCATATAGATTTGGATAAAGAGAAAAGCGGAATTTATTTCATTTCAGGCGACAATGTCTAAGGTCGATGTTTTAAAATAATAAGTGATTTTGGATATAATACACCTTTGAATCAAGAAAACGTTAGTTTTCAGAAATATAAGTTTGAATACAGAAAAGGTTTAGAAATAGAAAAAATTGGAATATAGAGTAGGTTTACCTTAAAAAAACAAATTAAGCGTATTAAAACCACACAACTTCATATATTTAAGAAATAACTCCCCATTCAGAAAATTTGAATAATATTTCAGAAAAAATTTATTTTTGAACAACATTTTCTTGTACGATAAAAGAAGCACATTTTTTTCGTTTATTCGTTTGACAAAATAAATGATTCTGTACAAAAAAGATTCAAAGCTAGGTGAACGTAAAAATGCAAGGAATGAGCCCGAGCCCACAAGGATTTAGCGAGTCTACTACACACTGGGTACACTAGACAGGCTGGTACGAGTAAATGAAAATGCAGTTCGGATATTGAAAAGATTGGGCCTGAAGTCAAATTATACAGTATATTGCACGTTTGACATAATTCATAAGTCTTAACTCCTCTTATTGAAAGATATTTGAGAATCAAAACTAGAGGAGCAACAACGTCACAAAGTCATAAAAGTAATGTTGCTTAAATTCTACGTTCAATTTCTGTCTAATTCACAATGAATCGTGTGAACCAGATTCGGTATTAGTCAGATACCACATTTAAAGAATTTGAGCCGCGGCTTAAATTTTAGACACGGCTCAAAAATGGTTGGTTCCACTTAAAATTTTATTTAAGCCGGCGCTCAATTGAAACCGGTTTTTGGTAGATTTGAGACGCGGCTCAAATTCATTAAATTCGGACTCTGTTGTATGAAGTTAAAAGATTAGAATTTAGAAAACGAAAATTTTACTTATTCTGCACCACCAAATTCAAGCCGCTTACTTTCTAAGCTCCTACGTTTAAAGCTTGAAGGTCCACGACATCAGGTTGCAAAGCTATGAGAATAAAAAAATTTGTGACAAGAGGAACTCTTTTCAAAACTGTTTATTTTAAACATTTGCCTTTCTTACCCCGAGAGAAAATATAAGGAAAAATTATCGATTTAGTGTTTAAAAGCATTGAAAAGTTTATTAAAAAAACATATTTCCAGAATACAGGTTTAAAATGATGTTAGCTCACTGTGTTAAATATTTCCAGTATACAGGTTTAAAATGATGTTAGCTCACTGTGTTAAATATTTCCAGAATACAGGTTTAAAATGATGTTAGCTTACTGTGTTAAATATTTCCAGAATACAGGTTTAAAATGATATTAGCTCACTGTGTTAAATATTTCCAGAATACAGGTTTAAAATGATGTTAGCTCACTGTGTTAAATATTTCCAGAATACAGGTTTAAAATGATGTTAGCTCACTATGTTCAATATTTCCAGAATACAGGTTTATAATGATTTTAGCTCACTGTGTAAAATATTTCCAGAATACAGGTTTATAATGATTTTAGCTCACCGTGTTCAATATTTCCAGAATACAGGTTTAACATGATGTTAGCTCACTATGTTCAATATTTCCAGAATACAGGTTTAACATGATGTTAGCTCACTGTGTTTGTGAATCGTGTGGTGCTTTATAAAAGTCTAAAAACTAGGAAAACGGCCCAAGTTTGTCCCCTCACTGCCTGCATCAAGAATAGAGTTGAGATTTCTAATTTAAAAGGTCTAGGTTGAGCTAATTAGACACTATTATACTCATGCACGTCATCTGCGTTGCATCTACAGATTTACAGGGTGTCCCTGAAAAATATTGATTAGTGTAGTCTCAAATTTGGGCCTGATTGTATAACTTTTAATTATGGAGGGGGTCAATCGATTCTGACATTGTTTTTTTTTATCCCAATCCAATTGTTTCTTATATAATCTTATATAATCATCTTTTTGAAACACCCTGTATGTATGATGATAAAAAATTATCATTTTAGAGACAGACGGAGTCAAACTCATGGCTTCATAAGGCTTGCAAAATATATTCAATCAGTGAAGCAAATCAAATAAATTCCCTTTTTATTTAAAATGTGCATACAATTTTTTAACAAACATTAGTTTTCTTAATATCTTAATTCTATATCTTTTCAACATGATCGTGTAAACCTTTGATATTAAAAACTTAGACTATTTTATCTAACAGAATTTACAGTTTGAATTAACAAAGATCTGAGAGTTATCTGGTTGCAACGATCTAAGATTTAGACAATTGCGTTCAGTTTTAAATACCTGTAGAATAAAAATCTGAATTGTGGATAATGCCAGCATATAAAATAAAAATATTTTATACATAAATAGACAAATTAACAATTATCAAATTTTTCAAGGAAACCAATTAAGAAATTGAAATTTTTCTGTACCTAGACTGCAAATAAAAATATTATATAACATTCGCCTGAAAAATCATAGTATCGAATATTCTAATTTTTTACTTATATCTTGTTAACTTTAATCTTATTTTGAGAGTGCACGTCAAACTGAAGTAAATTTTCTTATATCTTGTTAACTTTATCTTATATTCAGAGCTCACGTCAATCTAAAGTAAATTTTCTTATATCTTGTTAACTTTAATCTTATTTTGAGAGTGCACGTCAAACTGAAGTAAATTTTCTTATATCTTGTTAACTTTATCTTATTTTTAGAGCTCACGTCAATCTAAAGTAAATTTTCTTATATCTTGTTAACTTTAATCTTATTTTCAGAGTGCACGTCAAACTAAAGTAAATTTTCTTATATCTTGTTAACTTTAATCTTATTTTCAGAGCTCACGTCAAACTAAAGTAAATTTTCTTATATCTTGTTAACTATATCTTATTTTGAGAGTGCACGTCAAACTAAAGTAAATTTTCTAATATCTTGTTAACTTTATCTTATTTTCAGAGCGCACGTCAAACTAAAGTAAATTTTCTTATATCTTGTTAACTTTATCTTATTTTGAGAGTGCACGTCAAACTAAAGTAAATTTTCTTTTATCTTGTTAACTTTAATCTTATTTTCAGAGCGCACGTCAAACTAAAGTAAATTTTCTAATATCTTGTTAACTTTAATCTTATTTTCAGAGCTCACGTCAAACTAAAGTAAATTTTACGTTTTCCATCATAAGTCCTCTTATTTAAGAGCTTTTGAGTAGAACAAAATATTTTTTTTTAAATTTAAACCAAAAGCAATAAAAATTACTGGCGTAGAATTGCAACTAGATGAGCTAAAAAGACGTCAAGCCGTACCACTGATCCCATATAAATTTGACCTGCTGATTTTGTCCAGTTTAGTGTAAGATAATATTTTAAAAACTTTACTAATTAATATGGGAAAATATAATTTCGTCCAATCAATCCTTTCATTGTATTTGGTGCATGCGGTGTGGCCTGTAGAAACACACGATTGCGTATAACGCATTACGCGCGCCTACTAGTGCATGTATAAAAGGATACAGATTGTAGTACAGTATTGAATTCTGCACAGATACTTCAACATGAACAGATTGGTGAGTCTAATAGATTCAAATATATCAACACATACAAGGGATTCATTACTTGCCACACACTCTTTTCTCGCAGCCGCACATTTTTTAATCTGATGTCAGAGACCTGTGAAATATCTGTGTTATTTCAAACTATGAAATCTGTTAGATATACTAGTCAAATTTTTAAATCTTTGTAATTTCTAACTATAAATTATGTTAGACATACTAGTCAATTTTGAAATATCTTTGATATTTCAAACTATGAAATCTGTAGATAAACTTGTCAAATTTTAAAATCTTTGATATTTAAAATATTTTAGATATACTGGTCAAATTTTGAAATATCTTTTTTATTTCAAACTATGAAATATGTTAGACATACTACAGTCAATTTTGAAATATCGTTGTTATTTTAAACTATGAAATCTGCTAGATCTAATAGTCAAAGTTTGATACACCAAAGAAAGACATCACATGGTTGCAGAAATATAGGAATTAGAAAATTTAGATTTTGTCACACGTACTCATATCTTTTATAACCTTTAACGTTATTTTTAACTTTATTGTTTTAACGATTTAGTTTTTATGTCTCACGAAATGCTAATGATCAAATTTCGTGTTTTAAATCTTAAACATTTAAAAAGATCTTTTACACTGTAAAGGAATTGAGTGTTAGCAACAAACTCTGATTTACTAAATTCTATATCGTTGCAACCCTAACTATGAATTCCTTTGACTAAAATGGTATAATCTTTGACAGGCAGCAAAAATATAGGAATTAGAAAATTTGAGGTTATGGCAAAAACTCAATAATGTTGTCATGAACGTACATCAAAAGAAAATATGTCTAAACTACTGTTTAAAAGAAATAAGTTGGTAATAAAATGAAACCTTGTAGATACACCAGTTGTATGCAGAAAGGGTGGTTTTAACACAATTTAAAATGTGGAAAATTTTATAAATATTTGTTTTCTAGGTTTTGTTAGGAGTTTGTTTGATAGGCGTGGTATCTGCATATCCCCGGCCCCAGGCCCCCGGACCTCTTCAAATACCAGGAGCTGAAGGTATTTAAACACATACAGGGTTACCCACAAAGTATGAGATTTTAAGGACGAATTCCGCTTTTTATTGGCTTTTGGCTCTTTCCTTGCTAAATAGTTTACTTTTCCCGTCTACCTTTAGATCGCCAGTGTTTTAAGTTTTATAATCTTTAAGCTTTAGAGATGAAAATTGACATTCATTCCGGAAAAAAAAATAAAACAAAAGTAGAAATAGTTTAAAAGATGTCACTGATAATTTGATTCTTTTTCAAGGGTGTTTTTCCTATATCTTTGCAACCGAGAGAGAAAAGTTTAAAAGATGTAACTTTTATTTCCTATATCTTTGTAACTAAGAGGTCGTAGACCTTAGCTATTTCAGATTATTAATTTCGTTAAATCAAATATTTGAAATAGCAAAGATTTACACAATTTGAGTCTGTGCAACGACTCAATTTGTTTTTTATTCCTTAACATTGATTTTGTGATTTAAAGTGAAATGTTAAGATTTTGAAATTTAAAATTTTATGGTTTATTCTGTACAGTCTACCAGGTATCCCTGGCCTTGACACTTGAAGACATCTAGACAACTAGACATCTAGACAACTAGTCAACTAGATATCTAGAATATTGACCCCCCCTCAGCGTATCCTGGTTTTAAAGTACCCCGGCGGGGATAGGGTTAAAAATCACATATATATAAAAACAAAACAGGATATGATTTAATGAAATGTTATCTTTCTTATCCTTATTCTTGTTTTCAATCCTATTATAGACACAACATTTTAATTTGAAATTGAAAACATGTTGTTCTTCTTTATAAAGCTTTTTAATGAGAGAAGTTTGATTAAAAACATGTAAAATTTCAATCTTTATTTGAACCTGTCAAGTCAAATAAAAGTTAAATTTCCCGTAAGCTGGAAATCTTTCATGTTTTCAATTATAATTCCACGTATTTAAGACCTATTAATTTGTCTTTCTCATACTTATGCGTAAAAACTAAACTAGAGAAGCTACAATGTCGCAAAGTATTACCAGTAATCCCGCATGAATTTGATCATCTCCTTCTGTCTAGTGGGGTGTGAAGTCAAATTAATTCTTAAAGTCATAATATAATTCCTAACAAATGTGAAAATTTTAGAATATGGAATAACATATAACATTATAATAATTAAGGATATGGAAAACTAGATGCTTATTTTTTCAATACATAACAATATAATAATTTAGGATATGGAAAGCAAGATGGATATTTTCAATACATAACATTATAATAATTCAGGATATGGAAAGCAAGATGGATATTTTCAATGCATAACATTATAATAATTCAGGATATGGAAAGCAAGATGGATATTTTCAATGCATAACATTATAATAATTTAGGATATGGAAAGCAAGATGGATATTTTCAATACATCAACGTCCCAGCTCCAAAAACTTATGAGTGGGGATACAGAAGAGGAAACGACCAACATAACAGGTACACGACACACGTTACCATTTTTAAAGGACCTGTCGACTTAATTTCAAGTGACACATATATTTTTATCGGCATGTACGATTTACAAAGTTACCCGTTAATATGATAACAAATGTGAAGGATAACCGTGGTTTTCTATCTTAAAAAGTGTTTTATTCTGATCATTTACTTTACTGTTTCTGCAGCAGAAACTCGAAAGTCGATTTAAAAAAGAAAATATAAATGAAAATGAAAATTTTAAAAGTTAAAAATTTGGATTTCTCATTCATTCTTGGTCATACTTCGCTTTTAAGAGTACCATTGTGAATCAGACATCCCATGTTTTATAAAAATATGGACTCCTAAAAATAACTTTTACATCCACTCTGAAATCCAAAATGTGTTTTGGTTTTAAATAATTTATTAAATAGATTGAAGAAATTTTGCTTAAGCTTAATTTTGTTCACAGAGGTCTCCAAAATAAAATGCAAAAAATGTCTGCCAATGATATAAATATGTGCAATTTTACTTCTACTTTTTAAAGTTAAGATAACTAAATATCTACTTTATGACATGAATTTTATACACATAAGTTCATTCTCTCTTTGTTGTTGCGATTTATTGTTAAAGTACGCACTATACAGACCCTTCTTTGTAACTAAATTTTTTTTTAAATATATTTTTTTTCAGAGAGGAATATCTTTCCCAGAAGGATCACACCTTTAAAGCTAAGGTAAACCAATAATAAACATTATTCTAAAAACATTGTTAAATCGGAGGCTGAATTTAATTAATTTAAGGCGCGTCACGCGCTGAACTGCACAAAACCGGTTCCAATTGAGCGCCGGCTCAGATCACGAAACACTGAATACAATTTCAAGTAGAACAATGCTTGAGTCGCGTTTCAAGTTCTTTAAATTCGGCCTCAACATGATGGTTTCATTTTTATTTTATCTTTGTCTTTTGGTTAGTTCCAGATAATGGCATATTAACCCTATTCCCGCTGGGGGGGGGGTCAATTTGACCCCCCCTGTAGTTTTTTTTACATAACTCAAAAAGTATTGGTCTGAGGCTGTTGAAATTTTCTGACTTTTCTTACATACCCAAAGCCCTCCCTTTAGGCCTAAAACCGGGCTTTAATACTAACTGCCTGAGTCCTCAGGCACACTGCCTGAATGACTGCTTTTGCCTGTAACAAACTAAATCTTTGTTTTGACCCACTTTCACTTGTCAGATTTTGATAAAATTTAGCCTTTTTGGAAGCCTATGACATAAGGAACCGGATTGCACAAGTTTTGCGAAAAAAAATTGCAAATTTTTTGCAAACAACCTGTCAAAGGAAATTTGCACATTTTTAGTTTTTCTTGATTAAAAATCAGGTTATTTAAAATTTTGCAAAAATTTTTGCATATTTGAAATGGCATGGTGAAGGGCTTTTCAAAAATTTATAATTTGTCATTTTTTGGACAAATTTTTTTTTGCAAACATTTTTACTATAAAACTGGATTTTGCGATAAAAAATTCAATTTTCGCAAATTTGCAAATTTTTTTGCAGATTCTAAAAGTAGAGCACAAGAGCTTTCTAATGATGTATCATTTGTCATATTTGGACATAAAACATGGGATTTAGAGGGGGGGGGAAAAATTGACCCCCCCCCTCAGCGTATCCTGGTTTTAAAGTACCCCAGCGGGGATAGGGTTAAAAATCACATATATATAAAAACAAAACAGGATATGATTTGAATGTTAGTTATATTTCACATAAATATGAAGAATAATCACAATAATAATGATGATACTGATATATAAATATTTCAGCTGAAGTGGGCGGATGCTTATGATGGTCACGGTGAACACTATTATGATTACAATCACGTTCAGAAATACGAGGAACCAGCATATGTTGAACCTGTACCGTCCTATGCTCCGGCTAAACCGGCCTACTCACCCCCTTCATATTCTTAACCATCTTCATTCATCATAGTTTATCCTATGCTAAGTGTATATTCATTTTTGAATAAAATGTTTAAATCAAGTAATAAGAAAATGTCGAATATTTCTAAAACTTTTAAATGAGGAAAATTAACAGTTCGAGTTCGAGTTGAAAATCAATGATTAAAGGGACTGAAAGCGTGATTTCACGTGACCCTCCATGCAATGATGGCAATGTCTGATTCACAGCTTTTTCTGCTCAAGTATGAATTAGATATTAAGGTTTATATTTTGGAAAAATGATTATTTTCAGTTTTAGTTTCTCTACTAAAGTGACTTACGCATAATTCTACTGCAGGAAACCACAAAGGAATTATTAGAATTAAACACTTTTAAAGAAAGCGATAATATCTCTGGCATTATTGATCAGATAGAGGTGTCAAGAGAACATTTGTGAATCGGACATTGGCATTAATGCATGAAGGGTCACTTGAAATTACGCTTACAGTCCTATAGAGAAAGATGAAACATGAATAGCATATCTCCAACAAAACGTTCACAGAAGTTTGAACAGAGAATCTATACAAATAAGTAATCACTGTCTGTTTGTTTTAATGTCCGATCATGACTCAGGATTTGTCTAAATTTTGTAATTGGGAAATCGGAAGAACCACAGGAATGTCCTTATTTCCGGTTTCCAATGAAAGGTTCCCAACCTGATATTATAAACTATGAATTTAAAATATCTGATAGCCATAGTTGGAAATATTACTGGGTTCAATGCAATCATCAGGCTGCAAAGATTTAGGGTTTGCAAAATTTGTTCCTGTAGTCTGTACATTATTAAGCCTTAAGGAAATCAAGAACTTTCTAAGCACAGGGCCAAGTCTTTTTTATAGAAGTAAAACTTTTTTACATAAATGTAATATTTGAAATACTTTTTTGGATATTTTGTCTAATCCCATTATTCAAAATAAAATGCATACTTAAAACATTTTTTCTTTGATTGTATTTGATTAAGCAGAGTATATTTGTAAAATTATAGCAACTGAGTTTAGTTTAGTAGTGATATATGTGGGTTAGAGACTGGTCACCTTGTGCAGTACTAGTCAGCTGTAATACTTAGGGTCAACCTATACCTTTCCTTATACTTTTCATACTCATACATACATACATACACCCTTTCATACATCCTTTCATACATACATGCATACAGCTTGCAGGCTGACATATAGACACATAGCCGACTACAAAACTATACAACCAGACAACAGGAAAACTAGACATATTGACAGTCATAGTCATATATCTAGACAATTAGACATCTACTTAACTAGACATCTAGACAAATATACAAATAGACAAATAAACAGACGACTAGATAAATAGACAAGAAGAAAAACTGACAACTAGGAATCTAGATAGCTATACATCTGGGCAACTAGACATCTAGACAACGAGATACCTAGACAAATAGAAATCTAGACAACTAGACATCTAGACAACTAGACATCTAGTCAACTTTTTACCTCCAGACATTATGGAACTTTTTACCTAGACAATATGCAACTTTATACCTAAATATCTAGGCAATTTTTCAACTAGATATCTAGGCAACTAATCATCTAGAGAACTAGACAACTAGACATCTATACATCTAAAAAACTAAGCATCTAGAGAACGAGAGAACTAGACAACTAGACAACTAGACATCAAGACAACTAGACAACTAGACAACTAGACAACTAGACAATTAGACATCTAGACAACTAGACATCTAGATAACTAGACATCTAGACAACTAGACATCTAGACAACTAGACATCTAGACAACTAGACATCTAGACAACTAGACATCTAGACAACTATTCAACTAGATATCTAGACATCTAGACATCTAGAGAACTAGACAACTATACAAGTAGACAACTAAACATATAAACATCTAGACAACTAGACATCTAGACAACTAGACATCTAGACAACTAGACATCTAGACAACTAGACATCTAGACAACTATTCAACTAAATATCTAGAATCTAGACAACCAAACATCTGGAGAACTAAACAACTATATAACTAGAAATCTAAACATCTAGACAACTATACATCTATACATCTAGACAGCAAAGCATCTTGAGAACTAGACAACTTTACAACTAGACAACTAGACATCTAAACAACTATTCAAAAGATATCTAGACACCTAGACAACTAAACATCTAGAGAACTAGACAACTATACAGCTAGACAACTAGATATCTAGGGAACTAGGCAACTGGTTTTCATAATCTGTAAATAAATTTCCTGGCAGCAAACTTGATACTATAATATCAAATTGTCATATTGGCAGAGCTGAGATGGAAAAGGAAATGGATTCTCGTACAATTATGAATAGAGAAAACTGAAAGAGACTGTCGGTGAAATTTATTGTGTCCCTTTATAAGACATTTTGGTTTTAGAAAGTAAGACATCTGATTAAATTTGATTTAAATTCATAATAATTACTATTGTAAACCTTCACTAATAGATAGATAACCCCCTCAAGCCAGATACACACACCTTCATACAGATAAACCTCTATACAGATAAACCTCTATACATATAAACCTCTATACAGATAAACCTCTATACAGATAAACCTCTATACAGATAAACCTCTATACAGATAAACCTCTAGACAGATAAACCTCTACACAGATAAACCTCTGAACAGATAAACCTCTATAAACCTCTATACAGATAAACCTCTATACAGATAAACCTCTGAACAGATAAACCTCTATACAGATAAACCTCTGAACAGATAAACCTCTATACAGATAAACCTCTATACAGATAAACCTCTATACAGATAAACCTCTGGACTGATAAACCTCTATACAGATAAACCTCTAGACAGATAAACCTCTACACAGATAAACCTCTAGTCAAACAAGTGAAACTCTAGATGAGAAATGAAAGGGAATGCATGATAGGACACCCTGTACTCTGTAGATAAGATTTAATGAGCAACAAGACATGGTTGAACTATGAGGACATAGCTGAACCACTTTTCTTTAATTTGGAGAAGCGCACAAGTGGTTGAACTACGTCAACGTAGTAAAACTACCTCTAGCTATCCATTACATCTTATGTAGTTTTCCTGGAGCATGAAAAGTTTATGCCCGGTTCCTGAAATATAAAGAAAAGTTTAAGGAAAAATTCTTTTAAAGAAAATTAAAACCCTGATTATTTTATCAAAATCTGACATAATCTTATCTTTCTGCTGAACGGGGCAAATTTTTCCCAATTAATTGGATCTTAATTTTTCTTTCTCAAATACTGGAATTATTTTTCTTGAGAAAAGTTAAAAATTTTGAAAATGATATTTGTAGAATTTAAATCCGGAGGAAAGTCATTCAAATATCTTTTGACATTTTCTATCCAATTCTGAATCCAAAATAATTCTTTTTGACTGATTTTTGAGAAATGTATTTAATTGGAAGTAGATGTAGATGTTTGCTCAACACCAATTTCGTAGAAACTGGACACTTCTTTGCTTAGTTAGAAAACGATTGTTATTTTTATACTTTTATATTATTATTATATGGTGACGACGTGCGCTAGTTTATCAGACTGAGGTTTAAAATTTAAATTAAAATCAGACAATTGATTAAATTATTGCAAAGATACCGGTCAAATAATTTTCTAATTCTTTTATCTTTGCAACTTGATGTCGATACAGCTTTGATTTTCTAACAATAAATTCTGTTAAATCAATTAGCCAAAGTTTGAAATATATTAGATATACACCATCAGGTTGCAAAGATATAAGGCTTAGAAAAGTTTAAATCAATTTAATTTTCTTATTTTCCTTATTACAGAAAAGAATGTTAGAATTCTCGGTATTTTCAGGTCTCCAGAAAATGACGTGGAAAATGTAAATTCCAACTCAACTTTAATGAAAAAAAAAGAATTTTTATTTAAATAAAATGTGAATCAAATGAAATTATTTGTCAAGTGATTATGTCTGGAAGCTACACAATGGAGGGGGGAAGAGAAAGAAGAGAGGAAGAAATCAACGAAATGTTCAAGAGAAGAACGACAGAAGATCTAAACGGGGAACAAAGTGAAGGGCTTGATGTCCGACTTGTTGTAGGACGGGATGGTGGACTTGATGTTCAACTACGTGGAGAAGCTAGAGATGGACTAGATGTTAGACCAGATGATGAAGTAAATGACAGGTTGGATGGAAAGGATGGTTTGGATATAAAAATGGTTCCTAATCATGTCAGAGACGAGATTACAGTAGAAGGGAAGAATAATTTAAGTCAGGTTCTATTATCAAATAATTCATAACAACTTGAAACTAAAATGTTTGAATTTGCATAATTTAAGATATTTCAGTTGAAAATAGAATATCCATTACTCTCAGTAAGCTCAACGTAAACACTTTAAAGGGAGTGTTTAAAAAAAGAGCAAATTATGTTTCCAGAATTGAAAGGTATAAAAACGGAATTTGTTCATATTCTTTTCTTGCATAGACACTTCGTTGCCTTTGTAAAGCTCATTTTAACAATAACGAGCATAGTTCATTAAAATGCGTAGATATTATTAGGTATATTTTGAAATTAAACAAGCTGGCTTAAGATTATGCAAAAATATCGCAGTTTCTAACAAGCTTCCAATGAATCGTTTTTTAATTTCCATGATTCAACCGTAGTAAACACAATTAGTATTGTGAAGCATTCATCACAAAACTGAACAGAAATTCCCGAAACTAGGCCTCAGAGCAATATTTTATTTTACATTGATATAGTGTTGAAATTATACTCAGAGATCTAGGTCTATTAAAGGGACTGTAAAGGAAAAATGAAAGGGGGTATAGGATGAAACCTTTAACAATACATATAAGACATCTATCTGATGTTCCTGTCTCGAGAAATTGGTATAAAACTGTGTCAAAATTATACCAAAACGTATATATGTAAGATATACATCTGTATCAATTGACCAGAACTCCCTCCAAAAAACCATTGTTTATTACTTTAATAAGAACCGAAGTGAAAACAATGCTGAACGCGCTATCGTTAATGAGATCTTGCATGTTTTGGACTAACCAGGCTATGCATGATTTTCAATTGTTTTAATTGATAACCTTCATTTTACCAAACTGTATTATAAAAATAATAGAAGCAATGCGTTGAGTTATAACTCCATTGAAATTAAGTACAAATGTAAGGGCGCTACTTTAAAGAAATTGATCCCCTAATCCACAATAAAAAGATAAAATCATATAACATTCCAATTTTTAAAATTAGGGTCATACCTATGCAAAGGATCTGAGTTTTTGCCACCAACTCTTACTTTCTTATTTACCGAAAATACCTATACTTTTTATAATTTACAAAAAAATAAGATCATTTAAGAAAAAGCGCAACGAATTTTTTCGTATTCTGCAAACTGCACAGGCCCTCGACTTTTTTTAATTTAACCTTTTAGATCTTTATTTAATAAAGATTTATTCAGACGTAAAAGTGACAAATTAACATTTCATGCAAAGGAATTGAGTCTCTGCCACAAACTCTGATTCTTCAATCCCAAGATCGCTGCAACCCGTTGTCGTACACCTTAAAAATTTCAAACTAAAAATATCTAGGTCCACGATATTGGGCTGGAAAGATATAGGGATTAGAAAACCAGATTTTGTGGCAAAGACTCAATTTCTTTAACTTGAATAAATTAATAAAAACACAGGTTTTATTTAGGTTTTTATTGAAAAGTTTGTTTTATTATGGATTAAAGCAGTTGAGCTTGGGTTAGCGTGAATTAAAGCAGTTGAACTTAGGTTAGCGTGAACGAATAAACAAAGGTTTGATTTGATTGTTAAAAATGTAAAAGCATGAACATATTTCTAGAAAATATTAAATCTCAGGAAGGCAAGATTTGTTTCATTTTGGCTCTGTTCCAATGAATGTCGAATTTAGATTAAATAGAATTTTCGTCCCCGTATTGTGAAATATATTTTTGTTTTAAAGTAATCAGATCGGAAAAGAAACGTTAGATGTTTTTAAAGTTAATCCTAGATGTCTCCTTTCTCATATTGAATGAAATAGACCGTTTTTATATTTTAAGAGAAGTTCTATCTTCATAACACCACTTTAAACGAGACTGAAGGATAATGGTAAAACTTAAGCTTATTACTGGTACTACTTTGTGATCTCGTGGCTCCTCTAGTTTTACGCTAAAATTTAACCCTGTTGGCTAATAAAGATCATAGGGGGGTGTTTCCCCACTCCCCCCCTATAATTGTGCCCATAGAGTTGAGATAAGGGAGTGTGATACATGTTCCTAGTCAAAAATATATCTCTAACTTTAACATGGTTAGGGGTGCAAGCAAAGGAGGATTCCAAAAAATTTCAAAAAGTATGTCGCAAAAATGTATAAATATTTTTTTTAAGGTTTAATCTCCAGTAGAAAAGTTCAAAAATAAGTATTTTATGTTTTTGACATATATTAACATGTGACACATGTTAGTACATTTTTTTGTAAGGGCTTTTCAACTGTATAAATTTAAGCCCTGTAGTTTAATTATTAAAAAAATAAGCATTTCTGATTTTTTGAAACACCGACCCGCCGTTTGACCATCCTCCACCCTACTCTATGCATGGCAATATGCATAAACAATTTGTTTGGCAAAATTTCATCACAACTATGATGTTAAAAAAGTGAAAGAGTTCTAATATAAGCCGCTTTTGAATTATTTCCAAAAACACACGAGGGAGGGGGGGGGGGGTGCAAAACATCCTCCCTCCCCCAATCGTGATAGGGTTAAAACATTTATCCGGTAATAGAAACCATATAAAATTTAAATTTCACGTACTGTTGGCAGTAACAGACTTATTATTTGTGAATAACTCTGGATTAAAAATTTGATATTTAAAAATCGTTTTTTTTAAACTATGCATAAGATTATATGTATACTGACTCTAAACTATTCTTGCATAGGCCATGTGTTAATCCAACAGAAGAATTATCTTTGCTTAGGTACTTAATAGTTTTTTTTTCTACGCAATATCATTAAGTTTTATTATTGTATTATAAATTGAATTATTTAAAATTTATAATTTTTTCATTATGTTCATACTTTTTAAAGAGACAATTTCAAAATCATTGTTATTTTTATTTTTAACCTTTTCACTATTTTATTTAGAGGATTATGATTGTATTGGATTTGATTTGGATCACACTCTTTGTAGATACAATGTTGGTCCGATGATAAGGTATTTTTATACAGTGAGAACCAGAAAACTTGGGAATAGAAAGAAAACATTTATGTGAATTTGATAAAGGAATTGATTCGTTGCCACAAACTCTAATATTTTAATCCCTATATCTTTGCAATCATGTTATGTTATATACTATTTTAAACTTAGATTATTTGATCATACAGAATTCATAGTTTGAAATATCTGAGGTCTTCGACATTGGGATGCAAAGATATAGGAATTACAAAATAGGAATTTATGCCAAATACTCAATTCCTTTCTTTAATGTAACTGAGTAACTTATTAAATAAAAATTGGTTTATTGTTTCATGTTCATGAGACTATTTAAATCACAACAGTCTGACATCTTCCTATTTACACAGTTTTATGAGTCATACTGTATTTTTTGATTTTAATTTTTACCATTTCTGAAAATTTTATTTTTGTAAACATTTTTTTTCTTTTATTTAGATTTGAGTACGAACTTCTTGCCAGTTTCCTAGTGGATAAACGTGGTTATGATCCTGCAATCAAATACAGAGATTTTGATCTGGAGCAGGACTTCATTTGTAAGGTATGTTGAATAAAGGGACTGTAAACGGTATTCACAATTCGGTGATGGTGATGGACCAAACCTCTGTAGAATAAACAAGTAGATGTTAGTTCCACATTTATTTTTTAGAAAGATTTTTTTTGTCATCAGGACATGATCAGGTTGTTACGATAAAATCTCGGAATTTTTTCTATTGCGAAAGTTTGGTGTTGTCTGGGTTTTTATATTGATCTACCAGGGGTTGTAATCTGGCAGCACATGCATCCATCCACGCTTCATTCATTCTGAGAAGAGGGTTGACAAGATTCCAGCTGCCTAAGATTCTTCTTAGACCTGAGAATATAGAGTGTAGGAATCCTTCTGATATACTGGAATGAGGCCCGTGTGCCAAACTGATAGGATACATCACACTCATTGCTCCCTAACATCTGTAAGCCCGGATTGGATACCCCCAGGTACCTATAGCTGGCAACCATAGACTCTCCCTGCTTGTCCACCATTCCTCTCTTCATCATCATTCACTTGGATCAATCCCAATTGAAGCTTCTTTCTTGTTGAGTAGAAAGCACGCACCCTTTCGCTGCGAGAGTTGTTGACAGCCGCCCCTCTGTCCTCCTACATCCGTCAGGTGGTCATAACTGCTTAACCAGATGTCGGCTTCAAATGTTTTTGAAACCACAGGTTTGTGTGGAGTACGGGAATCGAACCCGTGAACATCATTATTAATTTCCAAAGTTACAAATAGGGATATCTAATTCGTTATTGACCATACAAAGTTTTAAAGGGTTCCGTTGTGAATTTGGCTTGCCATGATGCCACGTCAAAAAATGCAGGATCACCAGAAATTTAAGTCTGCATAGTCCCTTTATAATATACAATGTATATATGTACAATTATGAAGTTGTAATCTCTGTTTGTTTGGATGTCCAATCAGAAACCACTGGATCGATTTGCCTCAAATTTTGATTGGGGAACTTAGAAGACCCACGGGAATAATTGGTTTTAATACTCTAATTAGAATAGGTCCACTATAGGAAAAAATAGCTAAAATCGTAATTTACGACCAAGCGCGGGTAAACGGCTAGAAAAACTATGAGTACCCTGGGCAAGGCTGGATTCTGAAGCTATTATATAAGAATAATTATATTTTAATGAACTAATAAATGGTTTAGGGTTTAACCCTGGATATAGAACGAGGAAACCTTCTCCGCCTTGGTAAAGATGGAATAATTCTAGCAGCCTGTCATGGAACCAGGTATCTATCTATCCCTGTCATGGAACCAGGTATCTATCTATCCCTGTCATGGAACCAGGTATCTATCTACCCCTGTCATGGAACCAGTTATATCTATCTATCCCTGTCATGGAACCAGGTATCTATCTACCCCTGTCATGGAACCAGGTATCTATCTATCCCTGTCATGGAACCAGTTATATCTATCTATCCCTGTCATGGAATCAGGTATCTATCTATCCCTGTCGTGGAACCAGGTATCTATCTATCCCTGTCATGGAACCAGGAATCTATCTATCATTGTCATGGAACCAGATATCTATCTTTCCCTGTTATGGAACCAGGTATCTATCTATCCCTGTCATGGAACCAGGTATCTATCTACCCCTGTCATGGAACCAAGTATCTATCTACCCCTGTCATGGAACCAAGTATCTATCTATCCCTGTCATGGAACCAGATATCTATCTATCCCTGTCATGAAACCAGGTATCTATCTATCCCTGTCATGGAACCAGGTATCTATCTATCCCTGTCATGGAACCAGTTGTATCTATCTATCCCTGTCATAAAATTAGGTATCTATCCATCCCTGTCATGGAACCAGTTATATCTTTCTATCCCTGTCATGGAACCAGGTATCTATCTATCCCTGTCATGGAACCAGGTATCTATATACCCCTGTCATGGAACCAAGTATCTATCTGTCCCTGTCATGGAACCAGGTATCTATCTATCCCTGTCATGGAATCAGTTATATATCTAGCTTACTTTATAAAACATCTCATTCTTGAAGAACATATAACGATATTTTAAGAAGATTCTTTGCCACAAACTCTGATTTCTAATCCCATTATTTTTACAACCCAATGTTGTGGCCCAATTAGATAATTAAAACTATAGATTCTTTTCGATCAGATAATCTAAGTTTGAAATATTACAGGATTACAGACACCATCAGGTTGCACAGATTTAGGGGTTGTAAAATTTGAGTTTCTGGCAAAGATTCAATTTGATTAGGAAGATGACAGATATTGAGATAGAGAGAGTCTACGGTAGATGTAGGAAGAAACATGTCATGAATGAATATGCGACACATTTACAGGTATTATTTTATACTAGCTGAAGGGCCTGGCGTTGCCCGTGAAATTTTTTTTTTAAATTTAAATTTTGAAAAAAAATATTATGTCACCCCCAGGCTACCCATGAGTGTCCACAAAAAATGTCAGCCCATTTGGTCCAGCTGTATGGCCGGCTATATAAAACATAAATACGAATGTTTTGTTTTATTATATATATTTAAGGGGACTGTAAACGTAATTTCAAGTTCCCTCCTTGCAAAGATAACAACGTCTGATTCCCAATAGTACCCTTGAACATTTTTATCTGATGAAGAATGTGGAAGAAATTGTTGCTTTTCTAGGTTTAGAATTGTTTACTTCTGATTATTCCTTTATGGTTTTCGGCAGTAGAATGCTCAAGTTTCTGTTGCCATGTAGAAATTCTATTTTATAAACATCGATATTTAATTTGAACTTGACCAGACAAAGCTCAAACGCTTTTTGATTTTTGAAATGTTTTAAGGCTTTGACTCATATTGAAAATATTAGACCTTAGAATTAAATGTTCAGTGTGCAAGGTATGTAGTAAACACCTACTCCATAACAAGTTCTCGAAATGTATCTATCCAGGTCTAACCCGTCCGCTATCAAAGTCAACCAGGACACGATCCACTTTGTTACAATCCTTCTAACTATCAACAACACTATTACTGGACTCGATCTCTGTAGCTATCAAACCAAGCTATTAATCCAGGCTTTAAATACCACAGACGGACACAAGCATATCCAACAAGCTATTAATCCAGGCCCTAAATGCCACACAGGGACACAAGCGTAGTTATTCAACAAGTATTAAACAGATCATATTCAACAATTACGCAATCAATCTGAAAACGATTATATCTCACAGCAACCTGAAAATCTTAGGTTTGCTCCTGTTATAATTATTTAATTTTTATTTTGCATTTTTTATAGAAATAATTGTTAATATTATTACATTTAAATTTTAATCCGTATAGTCCGTATTAGTCACCAGTACTTAAGCCAATGACAGTGTGTAACAAATCTAGATGCTAATACTCTAACGATTACTTTACTCAAAGTCTAATGAGATCATATTTAACTAAATCTCTAGCCAAATCTTAAGGCTCTCTATCTCTAGCCAACACTCAAGGCTCTGTATACGTCCGTTCTAATCAACAAATGATATTCAACTAGTTTATTTATAAACAGGTAAAATGAAAACTGACCGGGCTAGCCCGGCTGGGTCAATATACAAATAATTAAGATAGTAATATTATTAGTACAGATATCAAATTAGAATTGCACATCATTGTAGAATACACTTCAAGTGCAGTATACTGGTCATGTGATTTCCGTCTGTACCACGTGACAACGATACTGCACTGTCATTGGCTGAATTATTGTGACGTAATACAGACTATACGGACTATATGTAATAATATTATCAATTATATCTATTAAAAATGCAAAATGCAAAATAAAAAATTATAATATGAGCAAAACTGAGATTCTCAGGCTCCTGTGGGATATAATCGTTTTCAGATTGGTTGCGTAATTGTTGAATAAGATCTATTTAATACTACAACTTTTATACAAAATCTGGTATATGCCTGTTTTAGTATAATTTTGACACAGAGTATGTCAATTTCTCGAGACAGGAACATAAGATAGATGTCTAATAGGTATCGTTCAAAACCTGAGATTCTCAGGTTTCATCCTATACCCCCTTTCATTTTTCCTTTAAGCTATCTTCACACATATTTACAGCGTAATTTAAGTATATCACATGCACAATGATGTACAATGTACTACAGGTTTACAGAATATCATGTTAACACAATATTTTCTAAAAGTAGAGTTTTAAAAATGCTAAAAGACAGAATAAAGGAAAATTTTTTTTTTCTATTTTGACAAATATTATAAGCATTTGACGCATGTTTGTTTACACGTTAAATTATCAAGGGCCTTGCAAATATGTAAAATGATATAAGTTTCACTTACTGGCTTTACTACCGTCCTTGCAAATATGTAATATGTAATAAGTTTCACTTACTGGCTTTACTACCGTACTGTATCCTAGTTTATGCAATAAAATATATTCTAAAATGCATTTTCCTAAAATTAAAAAAAATTTCTTAGTGAAAGCTCAAAAAGTGGTATGCTAAAAATGCTAAAGGGAACTAATGGTCCACAGTTTTATGGACTATTTTGATTATTTTAGAAGCATGGACCGCTTGGAATGGGAGAGTTTGGACTAATGGTCCACAGTTTCATGGACTATTTTGATTATCCTACTATGTTACTCTGCGGGAGAATAGGTATTTCTAATATATAAATATTTAACAAAAAATTTCAAAATTTCAAATATAATAAACATAATTATAAAAAATATTATCATTTTCCAGTCTTTAGGAAAAAAAAACAATTTTAAGATTTGAAGCGGATTTTGTTTCCACAAAATTCCGAATTCTCATTTCGTATCAATTAAACATCTACATTGAAAATCAGTTGTTTGAAGTAATCCCCATCAATACCAAACAATTTATGCCCAATCGGTTCAGCCGTTTTGACTTTTGTGCGATACTAACAAATCAATTTTATTTTTATGTTGATATTTAAAAAAAATATATTTTCAGTTGATGTGTTGGATCAGATTAACAATCATGGTAAACCAATGGAAGAATACAGTTTCTGGACAGGTTAGAATGAAAGAATATTTTTGGTTTAATTAAGGAATCTAAAAATACAGTTTCTGGACAGGTTAGAAAGAAAGAATATTTTTGGTTTAATAAAGGAATCTAAAAATACAGTTTCTGGACAGGTTAGAAAGAAAGAATATTTTTGGTTTAATTAAGGAATCTAAAAATACAGTTTCTGGACAGGTTAGAAAGAAAGAATATTTTTGGTTT